CTACTACGACAGAGCAGTTATATATATACCGAGCCTTATAAGGCCGGACAACTATTTTACTTATTATATTGAGAGAGTTGAGTCAGCAGGTGAGTATATCTTCAAATTATCTTTGACTCCCAGTTACTTTCAGTTATTATATTATTAGTTCAGTTTCAGCTTTCAGTATATTACCTTACATACTCGGTACATTATTTCGTACTGACGTCCATTTTTTGGGGGCGCTGCATTTCATATGTGCAGGTTCAGACAGACAGACGGGTAGACCTCCTCATTAGGTGTTGCCCGAGTTCAGCTTGATCGGTAAGCTCCATACCCTTCGGAGTTGCCGGGTCTAGAGCTTTATGTACATCTTGTGTATATATGTATATATGCTATAAGTAGGTCGGGGCCCTGTTCCGATCACAATATATCCATCAGTAGAGGCTTGTAGACGTATCCTGCCAGTTAGTGCAGTATGTTGGGTTTATAGGCCTTTTATGTATATTTTGTTGATTTGCCAGCTGTAGTAGTTATGACAGCTTTGTCGGCCCAGTTTTATATTGATGTTTAGTCAACATTCGCAATTATCTTGCAATGTGGCCCATGGCCAAAGTATGACACTATATGTTCAGAGTTCCTTAGTCCCAAGTTGGTACGCGAGGATAGGTGAGTCACCAGGTGCCGATCTCGCCCCAGGTTTGGGGCGTGACAGAGAAATCTTGAGTAACAGAGGTAAAAATGCTAGAGTATAAAAAAGGGTAATGAAATTCTGAAGATACGAGGGTAGAAGTTTGGACGAAAAGTAAAAAATAAACGAAGAAGGGAATATTTATAGGGTTTCCACGACGCTTTGCGTCCAGGGGTAGCCAAACGACGGCTGACATGCATTTGAGGTCATAATGACATGACTGATGGGACGTTTCGATTTCTCTGTCATTTTGTGCCGTAGCATATTGAAGAAGAGATCGAAGAACTCATGTCGTTCCTTGTCATTTTCGTAAAACTTACTCTCCGAGAAACGGGGAGACTATCTGTATACGGGTAAAACCGAACCCATAAGCCGACCTGATAAAATAAATCGAGTAAGGGACGTGATGACAAGGAACCGAAATCGAGGTAGGGGACTCATTGAGTCAGGCACCGGGGGCACGACGCCCGCCCTCGAGTATATTGAGGCCATGACCGCGGGATCTGTCCCAATCCCAGGAGACTTCGGAGAGCATCATTGGGCAATCGAGCACGATTAACGGAAGGCCGTAATATCTGCGATCGACCGTTTAATTATTATCCCTTTTTAGGGTAAACAATGTCATAGACATACTTGGTACGAAATATGCCATTACTTTCATTCATGCTTTTCCAAGAAGCCCTTTATGGCAATAGAATAAAGGTTTGATTACATTTAAAAACTTAGTTACCCAAATACTTATCAGAAAAGTCATAGAAGAAAAACAAACTCTATTACAATAATACACCCAAACTCAAATTTGAACATTTACCACAAGACCAAAAACAAATAATTTTTTTTTAGAATAAAGCATATAAAAAATAGTTTTTGGATCTAGCTCAATAAAAACTAACTCGTAAAGTGAATATTTGTTCAAGGCCTTATAAGGAGACGATAGCTCATTTCCTCCACTAATGTAGAACACTTAATGTCACACCCAAAATTAGGTGCTCACACTTAATACTCCTTCAAACGCCCATGACAGAATATCTACGACACAAACAACATAACATGGGCCGAATATTGATTAAACCAAAAATATAAATAGGTCTTATTCTAATATCATGGTAAAGTTAGACATTGAAGCTAACAACAACAACAACACAGTAAAATCCCACAAGTGGGGTATGTGGAGGGTAGTGTGTACGCAGACCTTACCCCTACTCCAGAGGAGTAGAGAGGTTGTTTCCGATAGACCATCGGCTCAAGAAGATGAAAAGAAACAGTGGTGCGGTATCAGCAACGGAAGCCAGAAAGATAATACCAGCAACGTAATAACCAGAAATAGAGAAAAAAATAATAACAATAAGCAATAATAATGGCACAGTACTACAGACACAATGGAGACATAATGACACAACATAGACCACCGGTAGCCTAGGACAAAAACATTATCAGACTAGCCTCCTACCACCTAACCTGCAACCCTAACGAAGTAGTATGGACACAACTAGAACCATTAGCAACCTTAGACAAAACACTATCAGTCTAGCCTCCTACCACCTAACCTGCAACCCCGATGTTCGGCCTCCACAACTTCCTAGCAAGGGCCATGTCCTCGAAAATCTGAAGCCGCGCCATGTCCTACCTTATCACCTCTCCCTAATACTTCTTAAGCCGCCTTCTACATTTTCTCATACCTGTCAAGGCCAGCCATTCACACCTCCTTACCGGGGCATCCAGGCTTCTCATCTGCAAATGCCCGAACCATCTAAGTCTAGCTTCCCACATCTTGTCTTCCATGAGAGCCATACCTCCCTTCACCCTGATATCTTCATTCCTAATCTTATCCGCCTAGTGAGCCCGCACATTCATCTCAACATCCTCATTTATGTTACATTCATCTTCTGGATATGATAATTCTTGACCGGCCAACACTCTGTACCATACAACATGGCCGATCCAACCACCGCTCTATAGAACTTACCTTTAAGTTCCGTAGGCATATTTTTGTCACACAAGAATCCAGACGCTAACCTCCATTTTATCCACCATCCCCCTCTATGGTGCGGGAGATCCTCGTCTATCTCCCCCACCCCTTGGATAACCGACCCCAGGTACTTGAAGCTCCCTTTCTTTGGGATGACTTGTGAGGCAAGCCTCACGTCCATGTCCGACTCTCCCGACACGCCGCTGGACTTGCACTCCACGTATTCTGTCTTAGTCATGCTCAACTTGAAGCCTTTAGACTCAAGGGTCTGTCTCCACACCTCCAACCTCTCGTTAACTCCTCCTCGCGTCTTATCAATCAGAACTATATAATCCGCGAATAACATACACCATGACACCTCCTCTTGAATATAGTGTGTTAGTGCGTCCATCGCCATATCAAATAAAAACGGGCTGAGCGCAGATCCTTGGTTTAATCCCATAACAAACGGAAAATGCTCTGTGTCACCCACACTGTCCTAACCCGAGTTTTAGCTCCATCATATATGTCCTTAATCACCCTAATTTAAGCTACCAGAACACCTTTTACCTCTAGGCATCTCCACATAACTTCCCTAGGGACCTTGTCATATGCTTTCTCTAGGTCAATAAACACTATGTGCAAATCCTTCTTCCTATCCCTATACAGTTCAACCAACCTTCTAATAAGATGGATAGTTTTCATAGTAGAACGACCAGGCATGGACCCAAACTGGTTGCCTGATATCAACACCGACCTACTCACCCTCACTTCCACTACCCTCTCCCAAACTTTCATGGTATGACTTAGTAACTTGATACCCCTATAGTTATTACAATTATGGATATCACATTTGTTCTTGTATAGAGGTAATATCGTACTCCACCTCCATTTTTCTAGCATCTTGTCCGTCCTGAAAATAATATTAAATAACATTGTCAGCCACTCCAATCCCACTCTAACCACATACCTCCAAATTTTTACCGGAATTTTATCTGGCCCGGTTGCTCTACCCCTGCTTATATTACGCATAGCCCCACGACCTCTTCGACCTTAATGCACCTTCAGTAACTAAAATCTCGGTGACTCTCAGAGTGCTCCAATTCACCTGGACCTTGAAGCTAACTCTATCCAAAATATAGCTCGTACGTGATGTTAAGATTGCTCCAGGCACAATAAGAAAATAATAATTCATTTCCTCCGCTAATATACTTAACAAAGACAAAACAAAAACAAGTTGCTTTTTAAGCCAAGCACCATTGTTCTTAGAAGCTTTTTAGTCTTAGTAAACCCTTTTTTTTTTCCATCAAGTCTTAGCAAACCCTTGAGACACTTTAAAAGAAACCTCTAGAAACTAAGATAAAATTTCTAAAAGGTAAGAAATATGCACAGACTTCTTTTTTAATTTTCTTAAAAACGCCACCTTATTTTCCACGAAAATCACAAAATAGTGCAATTGTCGGTCATCCCCAACCCGCCGCCACGTGTCTCCCTGCAACGTGTCAGCTTTTCATATGTCACCTCATACCCATTTTTTGTACAAACATTTCACAATAGAAAAGCTTCTCTATAACAGCATAAACATGACTATTTCCCCTTCCCCTAATTTACCCTTTTATTTTCCCTAATTTCCAACCGTATCCCTTCCCCACTCCCATCGAAAACCCAACCAAACAACACTCTCGATCAGAACTCATCCTTCTTTCTAAACTCAGTTCTTCATTTAGCCCCACCCACCCCTTCACCCCTACCCACCCCTACTAGGGCAACTTTTTTTTTCCCATAGTTGATCGGACGGTCAGTCGTTATCCTCAAGCATGACCATGCTGAATCCTCAACCGTTGGATGTGAGTCTTCCCTACATTACTTCGTTGAATTAACTGTTACTATCGATAGAAATGTCTATTTATATGTTTTTTTCTTGGTCAAATTTGTTAATTATTCGCATGTTCAAGTGATGCCAAAAGTTGTCTCGCATTGAATAGGTTTGTGATCAGCTAGGGTTTTTGTTATGGTAAGGTAGGGTTTAGGGACTAAATTGTCTTTAATTGGTTCGTAAATTGAGTTGCGTTATTGTGAATGGAGAAAAAAAAGTAGTGTTTTTGATTCAAAGGACTGGGTTAGGGTTTTACCTGATCATGCTCCTGACTTGATTCTATGTTTATTTGTTTTGCATTTACGATGCATGCGTCTTTATTTTATTTTTGGATTAGTTAATATGTACTGGCAATGTAAATTTTTCTTACGCTATCAGTGTAGTTTAACCTGTTATAGCAGGTAACTTACTATTTATTCTAGGTTATTAATAAATGTTTATTAAATAGAGTTATAGTTACCTGGTACCTATGCTGGTGGGAGGTAATAGGTACAACTTGGAATTAGTCGAGGTGCGTGCAAGCTGGCCCGGACACTACGGTTATTAAAAAAGAAATAGAGTTACCACATTTAGTCATTGACTAATTCACTAGGTAATCCTCAATAAATGCTTACTTGGATTGGGGCACATGGGCGGATGTATGGTGGTAATGACGGGTTCAATCGAACCCATAACTTTCGATGCGGAGTAAAAATTTATATGTAAAAACTTGTTAAAATTGCAAAAAGAGTAGATATGAACCCATAACTTTAAAAATATAATGGGTTATATGTTAAAACCTTAAAAGTTGAACCCATAGAGTTTAAATCCTGGATCCGCCTCTGTTGGGGCAGATAGGTTCACACTGGTGCATGTCTCTGTTATTTTAGTTTTAATAAAGGTGCGTAGCGCATTTTGCGCGCACCTCAATTAATCACTTGGGAATCTGCTATAGCCCACAAGTAGGTCTCTGGTAGACCTGCCCTGCCTAGATTGGGGCAGATGAGCTCACTGTGTTGCATCTGTTTTTTTATTTTATTTTATTTGATAATGTTGTTGTTGTGGCAAGTTTTCCCATGTCTTGAATAATCCACTGGCAACCTGATAGCACCTACAAGCATATGTGTCAGGTGAACCTGTCCGACAAGGTTGGTACGGATGGGCTCACATGGGTGCAAGTGTCTTTGTTTTAGCAATCTCTGAAATTACTCTTTTTTTGGGAATAATTTAGCAGCAGGAAGAAGAGGAGATGCTTGTGCCACATTCTGACTTAGTTGAAGGTCCTCAGCCCTTAGTTGAAGGGCCTCAGCCCATGGAAGGTTGTTCCTCTTTTAACTGTTGCTATTTGAGTTCCTTTTCTGTTTTAGAGGAGTTTAGGTTGGTAATTGATCAGTCTTATGCTTGTCTTGGATCTTGTTGTAACGTTTTGATGTGATCATATGGTAAATTTGATTAATAGTGGCACCTGCTGAGAATGCTAGTACGGGGGAGAGCCAAGCCGCGGACGAGCCACAGGCATCCCGGTTTACTTGGACAATTGACAATTTCTCTCGGTTATCTGTGAAGAAGCTATATTCTGAGGCTTTTGTTGTTGGTAGTTATAAATGGTAAGTGGCATTTATTGCTTAACTTGGTGGTTAACTTTAATAACTTTTTTAGAGTGGGTTATAATTGGCCTATGGCTGGCATTGGTTTGTAGGCGAGTGCTTATATTTCCAAAAGGAAACAACGTGGATTGTTTGTCAATGTATTTAGATGTGGCAGATTCATCTACATTGCCATATGGGTGGAACAGATATGCCCAGTTCAGCTTAGCTGTTGTAAATCAAATAAACCCCAAATATTCAGTGAAAAAAGGTACTTTCTTCTCCTGTTTCGGTGCACCTAAAGCTTGAATCCAAATTTCATCCGCATGATTTGGATGTCAGATTTTATTTTTTCCTTCATTGCCTTTTCACGTGTCTTGGAATATTCTCATTTCTCCCTCAGTCGAAGTACACTTAATGAAACTTCCTTTAGGGAAAAAAGAAAAAGTAGCGTCTTACCTTTCCTGACGTTGACCATCCTTTGCATGTCTTTTTGTTTGTAAACTGTATGCCTATTTTGATTTTTTCGTTTCCATACCTTACCTTTCTTAGTGTCGTAAAAATCAGTGTCTTTTCATTTTAAAGTTTTTGCTTAAGAACTTGCAAACTTATGGCGCATAATAATAGCTTCACCATCTTTTTTGTCTGTTAAGGGTTTCATACAAATCTATCATGCGAACATTTATTTCGCCCTTTTGATCTTTTACATTTTAAATTCCACCGTATGGTAGTAACCATTTCTTCTTGAAATGTGTCATTTCAAGAATGCATACACTGTGGTTGCACCTTGGCTCAATCTTACAGCCGAATGAATATAGAGGATTTATATCACCCACCGCAGCTAACTTGGAATTGAGCGGAGTTTGATTGAATAAGTAAAGTTAGAGACTTTATTTATTGTCACACCGAAGGTGTGTCCTCCTTCGTTTCAATCTTTTAACCTACGAGTCAAAAACCTACAAAATCAGAAACAGCCAATCAGCCGTACAAATTATCTCATCAGAATTTGCGTAATCAGATCATTAAATATTATCAGGTCATCTCCACTTTTGGAGTTTGTTCTTTTTTCTTGTCAAAAGCAGTTCATAAAGAAACACACGCTGAGCAGAATCTGAAGTCCTGCATTTCGTGAATTTTAGTTTTCTTCTTCTGTTTACGTTGCACTTTTTGTGTGGAGTGGGTGAACCCTTGCTGTAATAATAAAACGCTAAAAAAGCTTCAGACTAATAATGGACGCAAGATGTAAAAAGAAATGGAAGTCTATTTGAACCTTTTCCTGCCACACAAGGATAGGAGTACAACCATATGTCTGTCCTTTTATTTTGGGTTTGGGGGGAGGGGGATAAGTAATCATTTAAAAAAAAAATGCTTGCACTAAACCAGTGCGGCAAGTTTCTTTTTTATAGGGTTGACGATATCATCTTCATTCGCTGAATTAATGCTTAACTACAATTGGAAAAGGATTCTTGTATATCTCTCAGCACCATCTTGGTTTGATAATAATAAATGAAGTTTAATTTATTCGAAAAAGGAAGGTCAAACAGCCAAGCAAAAGAATCGTATACTGAGGTAAGATGGGGGAGGGGGATAAGTAATCATTTAAAAAAAAAATGCTTGCACTAAACCAGTGCGGCAAGTTTCTTTTTTATAGGGTTGTCGATATCATCTTCATTCGCTGAATTAATGCTTAACTACAATTGGAAAAGGATTCTTGTATATCTCTCAGCACCATCTTGGTTTGATAATAATAAATGAAGTTTAATTTATTCGAAAAAGGAAGGTCAAACAGCCAAGCAAAAGAATCGTATACTGAGATACGATGGGGGAGGGGGATAAGTAATCATTTAAAAAAAAAAATGCTTGCACTAAACCAGTGCGGCAAGTTTCTTTTTTATAGGGTTGACGATATCATCTTCATTTGCTGAATTAATGCTTAACTACAATTGGAAAAGGATTCTTGTATATTTCTCAGCACCATCTTGGTTTGATAATAATAAATGAAGTTTAATTTATTCGAAAAAGGAAGGTCAAGCAGCCAAGCAAAAGAATTGTATACTGAGATAAGTTGGAAGAGAGACATTATGTGAACGTTTCTCTGTCCAATCTCTGACAAAGGTATGGTAAATCTTTACCTATTTATTGCAATAAACATATGGAAAATTTATCTGAACCTATTGAATAGGACAAAAATGGGCAACTTCATTACTCCAGGCTGCTCCAAATTCCTGAATAAGGCTTCCTAAACTGTTTTTACGCTTGCTGTTAATAGTCTAGGAATTAGGAAACTTATCCCTGAAAGACAAATCATAACAACAACTACACCTCAGTCCCAAACAAGTTAGGGTCGGCGAAAAGGAAAAACCAAATACAACAATAACAACAACATACCCAGTGAATTGGATTAGTGATCTGCAAGTTTGTTAGAAAATTGACTTGATAATGAGATACGGAACTGAATGGCTCTCAGGGAGCCTGAGATGCCAATAACAACAATATGTGTTTGTCTCATCGTGGCATGGATTTGAATTGTTTTTTTGTTGCAGAGACGCAGCACCAGTTTAACCAAAGAGAGAGTGACTGGGGCTTCACATCTTTCATGCTTCTAAGTGATCTTTATGACCCCAATAAGGGATATCTTGTAAATGATAAAGTTGTTATTGAAGCCGATGTTGCTGTACGAAAGGTCATTGATTACTGGACATATGACTCAAAGAAGGAGACAGGATATGTTGGGCTTAAGAATCAGGGAGCTACTTGTTACATGAACTCTCTCCTACAAACCTTGTACCATATCCCCTACTTTAGAAAGGTTAGCATATGTTCGAGTTTTTTATGATGCAAGTTTTTTACTAAGTATATTTGTTTTATTGGTTCTAGAATGCAATATCCTCATTTTGGGTTGTTGGTCCCCCAGGCTGTGTATCACATGCCAACTACAGAGAATGACATGCCATCGGGGAGCATCCCGCTGGCTCTGCAAAGTTTATTTTATAAGCTCCAATATAGTGATACCAGTGTGGCGACGAAAGAATTGACAAAATCTTTTGGATGGGACACTTATGATTCATTCATGCAGCATGATGTGCAAGAATTAAACAGAGTGTTGTGTGAAAAGCTTGAAGACAAGATGAAGGTATGATTACAAAATGACTAATTGCTAATTTTGAAGATCTTATTGGATCTTCTAATTATGTTTTTGTCCAGGGTACCGTTGTGGAAGGGACAATTCAAAAGTTATTTGAGGGGCACCATATGAATTACATAGAATGTATCAACGTGGACTTCAAATCAACGAGAAAAGAGTCATTTTATGGTATCTGCTTATCCTCAGGTTTGGCCCTTGAATCCTTAATGCCTGCTCATGGACTTATTTTTTTAATAAACTTCTGCAGATCTTCAACTCGACGTCAAAGGCTGTCGCGATGTTTATGCCTCTTTTGACAAATATGTTGAAGTTGAACGTCTAGAAGGCGATAATAAGTACCATGCTGAAGAACATGGTTTGCAGGTTCAAGACTCTTATCAATGAACAATAAATTGATGGGCCTTTGTTGTGGTTACATGTCCTCATTTATAACAATAAAGAATCAAAAAGTTTTCAATTATTTTTATGCCCCGTATAGAAACTGAAAAAAGATCTACTTATCACAAATCATTTTTTTTTATAACCGTCGTGTCCGGACTAGGTTGCACGCACCTTGACTCATTCCTGGGTACCTGCTATCTCACACCAGCATAGGTACCGGGTAACTCTGTCCACCAAGGCTTAGACAAATGGAAAAAAATCACCTAGTTTTTTTGTCTCTGCTGATCATTTGTAGTGTTTCCACAACAATGGAAATAAGAAGCTTGAAATTGGATAGTGCGAGTCCGAATTGGTTAGAATCAGAGCTTGGGATTCACTAGCATCTCTCTAAAACATTAGACCATCCATATTCTTGTGAAAATGCAACAAGAATATTAATCTTCATAAATGAATATTTTTTTCTCTCAGAAGGCCTATCCACATGATGGAGGAGTATCTTCTTAACTGAATAGGCATAGAATTTGGAGCCTAATTCAGCCTTTCTGTTTTTTCCGCTTCCTATGTTTTTCGGGGCGGACGGTGTTGGTAGTTCCCCGATGTAAATTAAAAATTCCAAATAGATGAGGGATAGTAGCAGGTACCACTAAGGGGGACATAATGGAATCAAACATCTTATTTGGATTTGTATTTTGCGGGTCTTGGGGCTAGATTGGTGCTAAGAATGCCATTATGCAGGAAGTCGGAAGACACATGAAATACCCTACCAGCATGTTGAATTTAAAGAACTTGCTACTTGAACTCATAAAGCTAAATAATAGAGAATGTCACAAAGGACTTCCTTAAGCCAGCAACTGACTCTTATTTGTTGCCTTTTTTTCTTCTGTTGTGAATATGGATTGCTGTGTTGATTTCAGGATGCAAAAAAAGGTGTACTATTTATTGACTTCCCTCCAGTTCTCCAGCTTCAGTTAAAAAGATTTGAATATGATTTCATGCGAGATACAATGGTTAAGGTTAGTACTAGTTTCTTCTTTCTCAGCTTGCCTTGCTATATGATTTGATCTGTAGTATTAGGTTTTGGGTTGATTCATAATTTCTCTTTCTAAAATGGCGTTATTTCCCATATTTGGTTCAAGTAAATACGTCTGGCAAATGAAATAGAGCATACCTTTTGTCACTGCTGGCTCACATAGCTTTTTGGATTGTTCCATGGTTCCCTCCCTAGAGTGAGTGTTATTTGCTGTTTGCGGGTCTGAACATTTATGTTCGGCAAAAGAAGTGTATTACTTCAATATCCTACTACCTTATCCGAAATAATGGGGCAATGAAAAGAAACTTGAAAATGAACCTGTTAACGCAAACTAGAATAAAGGAAAAGCCCAAGGTTGAAAATTTGTGATCATCATTTTCTAGAAGTGTAAGCCCATATAGCATTTTCTTTAAAGGCGCTATTTGGTAGTTGGAATATTTTCAGTGGAAGGTTTTCCAATTTTTATGAACTTGTTTGTTGAATTGTGGGCAGAGTTTTTGTCTTTTTTAACAGAAGCTTTTCCATCAGAAAAAGGAAACAGTGGGGCATGATTTATTCTGCACTGCGACTCCTCTGCCACTATCTGATAATACGGCCGAATTGTCTCCTAAAAAATGGTCCTGTTACTGATTATTAACTTTGTTACCAACCACAACCATCATGACCCCCAAATCTTCCGTTGTCCTACTATCAGATGCTGCAAATGTTTGTCTATTTAATCTGAACATCAGAAAATGATTAACTGTAGTTTTAATCGTTTAACGTTCTCTTACAAGAAATATATTCCTTGAAATGTAGTTTACATGTTCTAATATATTATTGATAGTATTCAATCCCATATTATTGTCCAGATGCTCACGTGTTACAATCTTTGCTTCTATGTTGCAGATAAATGACCGTTATGAATTTCCTCTAGAACTTGACCTTGATAGGGAGAATGGCAAATATTTGTCTCCTGATGCAGATAGGAGCGTCCGGAATCTCTACACACTTCATAGGTAAGTTTAACTCTCTTTTCTATGTGTATGTGCGGACAACACACTAGCACGCAATTGCAAAGGCTTCTTGTTTGACTTCTTTGCCTAATCAGTTTGGGTATGAAATAAGGTGTCTTTTTTTTTGATAAGTAAAGGTATTTTGTTCACATTAAATCAAAAGGTAAGTTGGTGCAACGTAAGCCTTTCGATTACATATCTAAGATACAGGACAAATCATCATTGCTTTCTGATTAATCTGCATCCTTTTAATTATACGAAAACAGAACAAGTTTGTCAAATATCTGTGCTTTAAGCTATGCACTGCTCTTACCTCCCTCAAAGCATCTCCTATTTCTTTCTGTCTATATATACCACACGATGCATAGGTAAGCGATATCCCAAAACTTCCTTACTTCTTTATGGACTTTCAACCTCTCAATGGGGAAAGACATTCATGATTGATGTCGGCCTTTAATCATTCTATTCCAAAAAGAACAGAGAACACATTCGACACCTCTTTTGCTGCCTCACTTTGCATAAGGTTATTCACCAACTTTTTACCTTTTGCAAGCTTGAAGCATTTATAGCTTACCTCACTTCCATTACTTGACATAAGCAAGGTGTAGGAAACTTTACTGTGAAGCTGCTGCATTTCCCCCCTACTCGGTATCCTGGTCCAAAATACCCTTGTTACACGGAGCAAAGCTTACTTACTACTGCTAATTCCCAGTCCTCAATCCCAACTATGACTTTGCTCCCATAATCTAGTTGGCTAGGACTGTGGTGCGAAGTATTCGGCTTAGCTCAACTATGCTTTATACACATCTATTTTTTCTGATGTGTTTCTTTTGCTCTTTATAAACCATATGTACCATACAACAACAACAACAACAACAACAACAACCCAGTATAATCTCAGACTTTTTTCATGAAAACATTTTGTAGTTACTGAGACTTTTTTCACACTTTTTTAGTTTTATACTCTTATATACTCGCTTTCATTCTCTTATGTTGTATTTGCTTAAGATTTTACAATGAATTGGTCACTGTTCTGTGTGCTGTTTCTTTTTGTTCATTAGTGATATGATATTCCGAACCATTGGCTAACCTAGATGCTTAGCATTATCTTTTATCTTTATGCTAAGAGTATCACCTTCCCCTTTTCTTAATGCAGTGTGTTGGTTCATAGTGGTGGTGTGCACGGTGGACACTATTATGCTTTCATCAGGCCAACACTATCAGATCAATGGTACGCACTGTCTCTGTAAAATATTTTCTTCCTCTGTCTCTTTCTTCTATTAATCCAATATGCTCACGAACACGCACCCGAACACCGAACACCCTCTGATGTACCTATCTCCTACACGTCGTGTTCACACATGCTTGTATGTGTGATGTATATAAACATGTACTTCAAGCATGTTGAGACTGGCAAAGAATCTAAATATACNTATCTATCTATCTTATGTCATTCAGATAAACTGAAAAGTTAATCTTTGTGATTTGGGCTCTGATTGGATGTGATTATTTGGTTCTATGGTAGGTATAAGTTTGATGATGAACGGGTGACAAAAGAAGACTTGAAGAGGGCTCTAGAGGAACAATATGGTGGAGAGGAGGAGGTATATGTCGCTAATAGCAGATCTAAATTGTGTCTTGTTGTGACATGCTTTGATTTGGACTTACTTTTGCTTTTACAGTTGCCACAGACAAATCCTGGCTTCAATAACACCCCCTTTAAGTTTACAAAATACTCCAACGCGTACATGCTTGTTTATATACGTGAGAGTGACAAGGATAAAATAATTTGTGATGTCGGTGAGAAAGACATTGCGGAACACCTAAGGGTATGTTTTCAAAAATTCTCCAGGCAAGAAATAGATTTTGTGCACCTGTTACTCAGTTTGCCTGTGATAAATTCTATTTTTTTGTTTCATTTCAGATAAGGTTGAAGAAAGAACAAGAAGAGAAGGAGGACAAGAGAAGATACAAAGCGCAGGCCCACCTTTATACAATTATCAAGGTAATTTTCAAATGGATGTGTAAGATAATAGGTTTTCTCTCCTTGAATATGTTGTGTTGATCGACTCGTGTATGTAGGTTGCACGTGATGAGGATCTTAGGGAGCAGATAGGAAAGGAGATATATTTTGATCTTGTTGATCATGACAAAGTTCGTAGCTTTCGAATTCAGAAACAGATGCCTTTTAACCTTTTCAAGGTACTATTCACTTTCCCTAAGTATTGTTGCTTAGTTTGGACCTATGTTGTTCGATACTTTTAAAATGCCGTCTAGTGTGTGTTGGATCCTCCAAAAGCTATGTATATTTGACGATTCGACACGAGTGCGGTGAGATCTTTGGAGGATCCCAGTAAAATAGGTTTGGACTCAAGTAGCACATCACTTCCCAATAACTTTAGTCGTGTGGACCTCTTTGTTTTTGTTGTTTGATCCTTGTTAATAACCTTTGTTCAATAAAACAAGGATGGAAATATTATCTGTGGAATTGAATCAGGAGGCAGAGTTATTTTTCTTAAGGATGACCTTTTTGGCCTTCTCCGGTCTATACAATCAATGAGTTACTAATTTCTATATGTTGTGCCTGTTCATATCTTTGGCATGTTTATGTGGTAGTCCTATTTCATGGATATTCTCGCTTGTGTTTGACCAAACTACCTGTTGCTACAGGAGGAAGTTGCAAAAGAATTGGGTATCCCAGTTCAGTTCCAGCGTTTCTGGATTTGGGCAAAGCGGCAAAATCACACTTATCGGCCCAATCGCCCATTAACTCCGCAGGAGGAACTACAAACCGTGAGTCCTTTTACCTTTCTCATATCCATTCTGAGTTTTTTGCAATTTGTTATGACAGTATTTACCTGTTCCGGGAAATAATACATGTTCATAGTTTCAATCATGTTTTTGCATTGGTAATGTTTGTGCTTAATTTCTGAGTGTTGGATTCAAGCCTCTGCTGTTGAGGGCATGGAGAACTTTTTTTTTTAACTTCATCTAAGCTAGAAGGTGGGTTTTTTCTTTTGTAGAATCAGTGTGCACCGTAAGGATATGATAATTTGTTGCAGTCTTGTGTTTCATTCTTTGGAAAAGATAGTTAATTAGAATAAATTTGTGGATATCTATTATCTCTTCTTGGGCGGTGTAGGGTTTTCATGTTTTTGAATTTCAAACTTTTTAAAAAATTGGTCTAGAAAAAGAACATAACACAACTTCCTAGAAACAAAAGGATTCGATCTTGCGGTTGAAGAAAATTAGATCTAGTGTACCAAGAAAAAAACGAACTTGATTGTCAGAGTTAGCTTAGAAGTAAGGCCATAGTGATCGTTATCAAATTTTAAACCATGGTGATCGTTATCAAATTCTAAGGCCATATAATGACTACGGAAAGCTTATGCTTCTTCTTTCTTGGTAATCCCTCTCCTCGTTGTAAAGAAGTAGGGGAAGAGTGGGCTGACTGAATAAATTATAAGCAAGATTCAACACTGGCCGTTATTCTCCATCGTCTTAAAGAAAAACATGTGAGTCCTCCTCTGAGAACACCACTACCATTCACGCTATTAAAAATATAAATGAAGGAGAAATATTCAATTCTATTGCTGGGAAATCAAATGGTGGAGGATTCATAAGGCAACTTGCTTTAGTATTCAGTTTCTCCAAATTTCCTACGCAGCGCTTCTTGTTTGATTCGTTTCTGATCCTTGCGAAGAATTGATACGGTAGGTGTTGGAATATTGTTTTTCCAAGTTTATTCATCCAAGTAAAATTATTCTTAGTTTAGGTTATCTAAGTTGCTCCGACACGGTAGTTTAGGTGCCGCACCCGTGATGACACGACACTAGTATGAGTGTGGGATCCGTACCAGATCTGGTCAAACAATTTTGAGTACTTTGACCACAACGGACAAAACAATTCGAGATGAGATACAATTTGATTCCCGAAATCAGAACCAAAACTAGGGTAAATTTGGAGAAAATAACATATCTTATCTAGGAAATCAATCCTTTACTTATTTGCAACTTGAGAATAAAAAAGAAATCTACACTTTACAAGTTCTACGTAAGTATTTCACAAAATTTCTCATAATTTAGAGATATTTTCATATTTTTATTTTTTTGAATTATTTTTTGATAAATAGACCTTGGGCCTAACTCAAACCCCAAAAGCTAGCTTATGAGGTGAGGATTGCCCAAGATCATATAAGGAGACCAAGGACCTCAAATCCCACCGATGTGGGACAACTCAACACCCCCCTCACGCCCAGGCCTGCAAACTGGAGCGTGGACAGCATAAATGGGGGCCCAACACTCGGACACCCGCACTCGTGTCCGAGCAACTTAGTAGGTTATACAATGGCATTTCATTTGTTGTGTAGTTATCTCTTATCCTGTCAAACTAATTAAGAAATCATGGACATGCAAATGTTGGTTTCTTAAAATGTTTGCACTAACTAATGTATTTATCATCTTTACAAAGTTTTGATTGCCAACAGCTGAATGTCTTAGCTTTATGATTCTTGAATTGTATTGTTGTACCTTTACATGTTGTTCTACTGCATACATTCTCTTCTGCCTATCCAACAAAAAGACTTTGCCTTGTTTTGCTTCTATGACTCTTCATAATAATTTACATAATCCACGCTTTTAGCTTTTCTTAAACGATGTATACTGTTGTTTGAAGACAACCATCTATATGTGCAGGTTGGTCAGTTAAGGGAAGTTTCTAACAAGACCAACAATGCCGAGTTAAAATTATTTTTGGAAGTGGACCTTGGCCTGGTACCTTTAAATTGACTTGAATTACTTTCCTTTATTGACAAGTGTTTTTTTGCCTTAGATTCTACTGTACTTTACCTTTTAACTCGTGGAATATTTCAGGATCTCGTTCCTAGTCCTCCACCTGACAAAAGTAAAGATGATATACTCCTTTTCTTTAAGCTTTATGATCCTGAGAAAGAAGAGCTTCAGTAAGTCATTTCCTCTTAAAGGAGCCTCATGTTAGAAATATATTGGCATGCGACAAGGTCTTTTTTATTTTTTATTTTTTTATGAAGATTTTTGTGACAAGGTCTAATAGCAAGATTTATTCCCTTTTTGCATTTCCAGATATGTTGGTAGGCTTTTTGTGAAGAGTACTAGTAAGCCAATTGAAATACTTCCAAAACTGAATGAATTGGCTGGATTTGCTCCTGACCAAGAAATTGACCTTTTTGAGGTGTGTTACTGTTGCCTTCTCTCTGTTATTGATACAGTTATCGATCTTATTGACGTGACATGAGAATTTGTCTTTTTCCTTTACAGGAAATAAAATTTGAACCTTCTGTCATGTGTGAAAGACTAGACAAAAAGGCTTCATTTCGATTTAGCCAGGTTTTTGTCTTCTGTTTTCCCTTCCCAGTTGCTGAAAGCTCATATCTTCTCGGATTTAGATTTTCTTTGCTGACTGACTTAATTTTAATAGATTGAAGATGGTGACATTATATGCTTTCAAAAGAAAGCTTCTCCTGAAGTTGAAGAACAAGTCCGATTTCCGGATGTTCCTTCATATCTGGAATATGTAAAAAATCGCCAGGTGAATCCCGATACTGCTCCAGTTTTCGCTAAGCTGTTGATGCTCTTTATGTTGATGTTAATTCTTATCCTTTATTTTTTGGGTTTATGGTCCTCTATGGTGGTGCCAAAGGAAATAAGTTTCAAAACTCCCCTGGGTTTTTGCCTTGACTATCATTGTTGTTACTGTATATGTGACATCTTTCTCGCCTTAATTTATGTTTTATGCTTGCGTACACCGTACAATTGGCTCTTTATGTTTTACTTTCTCCATTTTTGATTCCTTAAATCTGAGTTCGTTGTTTACAGATTGTCCACTTTCGAGCACTGGAGAAACCAAAGGAGGATGATTTCTGTCTGGAGTTGTAAGTTTATTTGGTATCTTATCTTTCAATTTATTGCAAAGCATTTGCTTACATCTATAACTATTTGGTTTTGTAAATTTACAGAGCAAAAAGTGATACATATGATGATGTAGTGGAGAGAGTGGCGCAGCGGCTTGGTGTGGATGATCCCTCCAAAATTAGGCTTACTCCACACAACTGCTACTCTCAGCAACCCAAGCCTAACCCCATCAAATATCGGTCCGTGGATCATTTGGTAGACATGCTAATCCATTACAATCAGGTTTGTTAACATGAACTGACTTTATCTTGGGAGCACATGGTGACGTTTAACGCTTTACTCATCATAGCTGTGGACAGTGGTATACTATTTTGGTAGGATCTGATGTGCTAATGGACTAATAACCACATCTCATTTTTTTGGGTGGGTGATAGATTTCTGATATTCTTTATTACGAAGTTCTGGACATTCCTCTGCCAGAATTACAATGTCTGAAGACGCTCAAAGTTGCTTTTCATCATTCTACGAAGGATGAGGTGTGTCTAGTATGGCAAAATCATTTGAATCAAATCAAATTATTACTTTTCCTCATTACATTTTTTTTTCATTGCTTTCAGGTTGAAATTTTGAATGTAAGATTGCCTAAGCAGAGTACCGTGGGGGATGTTCTTAATGAAATCAAATCAAAGGTATAGATAGGTGTAGCAACTTGAATTGCAATATTGAGTCTATGAAAGGAAGAACGCAATTTCTGTACCCAGCAGGAAAAAAACAGTTTCCTAATGTGGTAGATTTCTTATGTCTAGATGATTATGTATTTTAGGTACTTGTTAGTTTACAGCATGTATATAGTGTAGTATTGTCCCACATTGGTAGAGGAGTAGTATGTCCTTGTATAGTATAGCTATAAATAAGGACCTCTTGTATTGTATTGTTCGTCTAATATCAATAACATATTTTCTCCCGTGCTTTCTCACATGGTATCAGAGCAATTGTGAGAGACTTATCGCTGTGCATAAATTCCAGCTATTCCGGGAAAGAGAAATCAGTATTTTTTAAGACTGTTTTCTATCTGCTTCATTTCTGCCAGTGTTGTGCAAAATCCAACACTACCACAAGAGTCGTCACTGTCCGGCGACCAAACCCCAGTGATAAGCTCCGGCAGCAGTCTCCTCACGCGCCACCAGAAGCTCACGCGCGTGAGCTCACGCGCCGGCGCGTACGACCACTTCCGGCCATTTTTTGAAAATCTTCCTTAAGAACAGTTGGGTCGCCTGGTAATTCCGATCATACCCCTACTGTTTTCATTTCGACAACTTTGAGTTATTTTCCGGCAGCTACAGTACTATTCCGGCAGCTACAGTAGATTCCGGCAGCTACAGTATTTCAGTATTCTGTTTCTGTGTTTCCGTACACTGTTTCAGTGGATTACAGTTGATTCTTTCT